TCCGAGATATCCCCCTTGGGGGGGCTTTCACATCACTGCCAGTTGTTGCCGTTTCAAACTCAATTGTTCTCCTTGGTACTGAGGCAAATGGAGTCATTAATTACCTTCTATCGGCTGGGACGAGTTTAGAAAACGATCAATACACAGCGCTTGTCATTCACAGCAGCTAGCCCCAGTCTGCGCAGAAAGGCCCGGTCCCCCCCCCCACAACATGCTTTGGGCCCAACAAAAGGCTGAACAACACCAGCGATTCAAATTCTAGGGACCCTTCCTCAAGCAAACTGTCCAAGGAGCAAGGGGGAAGGGGATTCTTGTCCCAATTTCCCACGTGACTGACCCCAGAAAACCTCCCACCTATTTTTGATCAACACATAAGAAGCAGCTGCACCTGGGTACCAAACCCCACAGAATGTGCTGAAGGGGCGTTTACAATCGCACACAGTTCCCCTGGCACAGGTTCCTCTCAAATGCATGGCTCTCAGATTGTATGGGGCACACCAGGCGTGCATACCCTCCAACATTTCTCCAATGAAAATAGGGACATCCTACTCCAGAATCACAATAATAATAATTTTATTAATTATACCCTGCCCATCTGATTGGGCTGCTGTTGGGAGTTTGTTTGACTGTGGGGGTGCACAGAACCACAGACCCACTAGCTTCACCAGTAGAAATTCCTTCCTACAGCTACAAGCTGAGATATCCCACCTATTTATTTATTGATTGACTGATTGATTGATTGATTGATTGATTGCCCCGCCCATCTGGCTGGGTTTCCCCAGCCACTCTGGGCAGCTTCCAACATATATAAAAACATAACGAAACATTAAACATTTAAAAAGCTTCCCTATACAGTGGTACCTCGGGTTACAAACGCTTCGGGTTACAAACGCTTCAGGTTACAGACTCTTCTAACCCGGAAGTAGTACCTCAAGTTAAGAACTTTACCTCAGGATGAGAACAGAAATCACATGGTGGCCCCATTAGCTAAAGTGGTGCCTCAGGCTAAGAACAGTTTCAGGTGAAGAACGGACCTCTGGAACAAATTAAGTTCTTTACCAGAGGTACCACTGTACAGGGCTGCCTTTAGATGTCTTCTAAAGATTGTATAGTCACTTATCTCCTTGGCTTGGGGGTTGCATAACTTCATATCCACCAACATTTCTCTGATGAAAATAGGAACAGCCTAAGGAAAAGCGTGACATTCCAGGATGAAATCAGAAACCAGGATGGCTTCTGACTGCCCCTGGAAAATAGGGACACTTGGAGGGTCTCTGAAAGGTGGACTCCCTTTTGTTTTAAACTGGTGGGGGTAATCTGATTGCTGACTCAGTCAACAGGGAGGAAGGGGGGGGGAGGATTTTTCTTTCTACTCTACAGTTGTGGCTTCTTAATGAATTTTTGCCTTCTGCAAAATGCAAGCAAAAATGTTCATCCTTTTTTCCCCCTGAGGATCAAATGACCTCAGAAAACCCAGGGGAGAATACAAAACCCCCTTTGGAAACGATAAGGTTGGTGCTGATGAGGACGATCCTTTGTTGGAATTATCCAACTTTTCACGAGCTTTTAAAAATTATTTTTGAAGGCACGATTCACAATGTAGACTAGAAATACATAGTTATGCGCCCAGGATCGAGGGTGTCATTTGCCGAGGATATAAATGTCAAATATTCCCCAAATTGGAACGCAGCTGGCAGTGCAGACCTCTGCATGTCTACTCAAAAGTAAGCCCCATGGCTTTCAATGAGGCTTTTATTCCCTAGTAAGTGTTTTTAGGCTTTCTTTGGGGGGACTGGCGTATTTTCCACGGTCCGTGGATAAATAAATGCGTACTTAATGAAGCACATGAAATAATGCAAATATGAGCTTGACAAAAGGAGAGCGGCACCATGTAATGAAGTGTATAAGCATCTCAATGAAGATCCTTTGTAAATAATACGCAGACTGCCTATATGTTAAAGACTGCAGAATGAATCTGCAAACTCAGTGCAAGGAATATTTTTTAAAAGCGCCTGAGGTATGGCTGGCTGGCACAAGGCAGTAAGTTGCTCAGGGGAGCCGGGCCAGAGAAGGAAGTTACAGAATACCAAATGGGAGCCTACTGGCTTCCAAGATCGCCTCATCCCGATCTTGGCTGACCTGAAACACTTCACTTTTTGGCCTGCCATAGCACCACAGAAATCTGACCGCCAGTTCTCTCTGGAGAGAGAAAGGTGATGACACCTCACTGCAGCTTAAGAAGAGATAAATTTGAATTGAGTTCAACGTTTATTTCTTTAATCAGATTGCAGCTTTTTGAACTCAGAATGCCAGGTTTCGACTGAAAATCCATTGAGGCAGGTGAATTCCAATTTTGACGGAGAAGTTTATGAATCTGCAGCTTGAGCCTCGCTGAGAGTCACCACAGCAGGGTCCGATTCTGCCTTTGCCCTACAGCTGTGGAAAGAGTTCAGTCAGCAATGTAAAATCTTCTTTAAAAGGGTTTAGGGGCTAAGATGAAGCGTTCTTATTGAAATGGATGTTTCGTTTTGTTTTTAACTTGCTAGACGATGGCTGTTTTTGTTCTGTTTATGAATTTTGTAGGCCCCTTCTTACGATTCTAAGAGTCTATGAAACTTGGCGTCATCAGTAAAGGTAAAGGTAAAGGTACCCCTGCCCGTACGGGCCAGTCTTGACAGACTCTAGGGTTGTGCGCCCATCTCACTTAAGAGGCCGGGGGCCAGCGCTGTCCAGAGACACTTCCGGGTCACGTGGCCAGCGTGACATCGCTGCTCTGGCGAGCCAGAGCCGCACACGGAAACGCCGTTTACCTTCCCGCCAGTAAGCGGTCCCTATTTATCTACTTGCACCCGGGAGTGCTTTCGAACTGCTAGGTTGGCAGGCGCTGGGACCGAACAACGGGAGCGCACCCCGCCACAGGGATTCGAACCGCCGACCTTTTGATCGGCAAGCCCTAGGCGCTGAGACTTTTACCCACAGCGTCACCCGTGTCCGTGTCATCAGTACCACACTTGAAACAACCAAGCTATCCAGACTGAAACTAATGAAACAAACGAACGAATGAATAATAAATTCAAAACTACGTTTAGCTTGTAACATATTGGGTCATGCGAAGGACAGATAACTCTGGCTTGGTGTGTATGGGGAGGTGGGGGGGTATATTCAGTAAAGTAAGATAGTGAGCAGAATACTAAGCTGACAAGCCCCTCCACCCCAAAAGTGACCCAACTTATTTCAGGGTTGCTTCTCTGCATGCTTGCATACATTTTGTCCCAAAGTCATAGAACAGGCCTTGGTGCCTTTCATGAATTCGGAGCACAATTCCACCTGAAAGTTCTCCCACATCAGCCTTTTTCGTGTAATACAGTCAAACCTTGGTTGTCAAACACAATCCATTCCGGAAGCCCGTTCGGCTTCCGAAATGTTCGACAACCGAGGCGCGGCTTCCAAATGGTTGCAGGAGCCTGCGGCTTCCGAAGGATGCTGGATGTTCGGCTTCCAAAAAATGTTCAAAAACCGGAGCATTTCCGGCGTTTGGGAGTTGGACGTTCCAAAAAGGAGGTGTTCAGGAGCCGAGGTTTGACCGTAATGATAAAAGTTTTTTTAAAAAACCAGAAGCATTTTTACTTGGTATTATAGGTCAGAACATTAATAGGCAAGACGTTAAATCGTTTTTATATGCAACAACTGCCGCAAGAGTATTGTTAGCCCAGAAATGGAAACAAGAAGAAATTCCGACAAAGGAAGAATGGCAGACGAAATTAATGGACTATGCAGAATTGGACAAAATGACAGGAAGGATTCTAAACCTGCGGGACCAGAGATTTACAGTAGATTGGAAGTAGATTAATTATTTGAAGAACAACTGTAATCAACAAATTACGCTAGTAGGACTACAAGAAGTTTTGTAAGGAGAAATATACGAAGTGTTGCAAAGTAGAAAAAGATAGAGATATTGGTTATGAGTTTGAAATGTAATAGGGAAGATATGAAATGCATACTGAGAGATTAGATTGGAAAATTTTCAGACAGGATTGATGGAAGTCAAAATTTGAATAAGATGTAAAAGTATGTTTAATTACTGTTGGAAATGATACGTTAAAAAAACATATATATATATATATATATATATATATATATATATATATGCAGGTTTTGGTGTCCTCGGGTGTCTTCCCGTGTAAAAGTTGGGGTGTCTAGGCGACGTTTCGACGAGGTCTCACTCGTCATCTTCATCCTCGTCGAAACGTCGCCTAGACACCCCAACTTTTACACGGGAAGACACCCGAGGACACCAAAACCTGCATTCCTGTACCCGTGAAAATCTACGAAAGCATATATATATATATATATATATATATATATATATATATATGATAACAGTTTTATTATTTGTACCCAGCCACTCTGAGCAGCTTCCAACCTCTATAAAAACATAATTAAAACATTAAGAGCTGGTGCGCTTCCTTTCATGTCCATAAGATAGGTAAAGGGTAAAGGGACCCCTGACCATTAGGTCCAGTCGTGACCGACTCTAGGGTTGCGGCGCTCATCTCGCTTTATTGGCCGAGGGAGCCGGCGTACAGCTTCCGGGTCATGTGGCCAGCATGACTAAGCCCCTTCTGGTGAACCAGAGCAGCGCACGGAAACGCCATTTACCTTCCCACCGGAGCGGTACCTATTTATCTACTTGCACTTTGATGTGCTTTCGAACTGCTAGGTTGGCAGGAGCAGGGACCGAGCAACGGGAGCTCACCCCGTCGCGGGGATTCGAACCGCCGACCTACTGATCGGCAAGCCCTAGACTCTGTGGTTTAACCCACAGCGCCACCCGCGTCCCTGCCCATAAGATACACAGTGGTATATTGCCGGCCCACGAACGAGGTGAGAGTAATGCTCCTCTGTCCCATGCCCCACAAAGCTTTCTTCCCCAGTAGTAGCAGCAGCAGGAGAATCAGCAAAGCTGTTTGTCTTTGCCACCTGCAGTAAAATAGGCTCACCCCCTAGGCGTCCATCAAGGTGGAGCTCTGTTGAGAGGAACAGGCATCCCCTGGGGTCAATCGCCCCGCAGGCTTTAGGGTGGAATCCTGTCTGGCTTCCTGGCCCCATTTGTGGCGGTAGGGCTAGCCTCCTGCAGCATCCATCCTCTACCAAAACAGAAGATTTCGTTAGCTTAAAGGACACAAGCGTGGCAAAAGAAAAAGAGGAGAATAAAGGAGAAGGGTGGGTGGGGAAAGGGAGAAAGGAAAAAAAAGAGATTACCTTGCATGCAGTTCCTAACTATGCTTGTTTAGAGAAACTGCTTGCATTTATGAAGGCTTTGGTGCGGAAAGCTGGGTTGCAAATGACTGCATCGGAACGACAGTAAAAGCCATTAATTTCCTGTTATGTTATCCGGTGTTGGGGGCTTTATTAATTTAATTTTACACTGTCGAACAACAGCGAGCGCTGACACCACCACACTCAGAGGGCTCTCTCTCCCCCCCCCCTTCATAGCTGCGCTGGCCTGACATGCAAATCAACGCTATTATGGGAACCAATGAAGTCTAAGGGGGCTGGCAAAACGGAGCCATCCCTCCTCCCATGAAACTCCCCAGTTGTTTACACACACACACACACACACACACACACACACACACACGGCCAGAAGCAGCCATAATGCACTCAGACAGCTATTGTCACACCCTCACTGCCTCCTTACTGGCTTGGCCTCCTCTTCTCCCAAATTTGCTCTGCTCTGCACAACACATACCTGCTTTCAAAAAGCTCTCTTCTCTCCCATCTAACCTACCACTCCAAATAATAATAATAATAATTTATTATTATTTATACCCCACCCATCTGGCTGAGTTTCCCCAGCCACTCTGGGCAGCTTCCAATCAAATGTTAAAAACAGTACAGAATTAAATATTAAAAACTTTCCTAAACAGGGCTGCCTTCAGATGTCTTTTAAAGAGAAGATAGCTGCTTTTTTCCTTCACATCTGGTGAGAGGGCATTCCACAGGGCAGGCACCACTACCGAGAAGGCCCTCTGTCTGGTTCCCTGTAACCTCACTTCTCGCAATGAGGGAACCGCCAGAAGGCCCTCGGCGCTGGATCTCAGTGTCCGGCTGAACAATGGGGGTGGAGACGCTCCTTCAGGTATACAGGTATACAAATCTGCCACTGCCCCCCCGCCACATCCTTCAATATACTGCACAACTTCATCTCTTCCGGACTACCCATTCATTTCAAAATGCTTTTTTCTGAATCATCCGCATCCCAGCAGCAAGAAGCTGATGGCACCTGCCTCCTTCTTGATATGACACACGCCTTCCTTACAGAGCCCTCGCCTGTGATATGTATGCAAAAGAATTGGAACACCTATGGGAAATGCTAAAAAGGTCTCTTTGTTTTTGGCACTATCAAGGTTACGTGGTGCTTTGCAGAAAGGCCGGTTCATTTGTGCACTGGCATTTAGGAGATGTCTTCTTCGCGTAAATATTGCTTAAGGACGACGAGGCAGGAAGGCAAACCCAGCGTAGGACAAAATGCAGTCGTATCATTTGCTGTTATGATGCAACCTAGGATTTTCCTTGGAAAGTTTCCATGTGCAACAGTATGAAGTCAGACAAGTTTCCCTGCGTATCCCATGAACTGGAATTTCATGCTAGCTCAGATAACAATACTTTGCATATGATTCTGTTCCAAAGAGGGCAAATGTGTGCGTGCACATGAATTAGGGAGCAATCCTCTTTCTGAAAAACATTTTGGCAGAACATGCTCTTGAGAAAGCACTCTGCTTGTTCATTGGGAGTTTGGGCATGAAATGAAATGGTTGCATTCTGTCCTGCACTGTGTTGCCTTCTTCCTGGCTTCTGGATCCCACCTCTCTGCCCCTGGAACTTGGACTGCATTTTATATAGGGGGCTTCTCTTATGTAATGCAACTTACACAAGTTCATATTCCTGTTCTTCCCATTATAGAACCAAAACTGCTACCAGCCCAAAGCTCCATGTTTTGCACATCAATATGGCAGGTAAGAACGCATGTAGCGCACACTCAAATCCATTGATAGTGGTTTCCCCCATTGTTGCAACCCATTGATCTCTCTCATTCTCTGTCATTGACTTCCTTCTCCTTATGTTAATTTCCATCACATTGGGAGGCATCTTTTTGAGATGATCAGGGCTTCAGCATATACATGGTCAGTGGCAATCTCACCCCCTCAACACACACAACACCTGGGACTCAGCTATATTAGTAAAAAAAAAAAGAAAAAGTATTTTGAATGCATTATAAACATGCAACACCAGATGGCGCTGGAAAGCAAAAAAAAATTCTTTTGCGATTTCCCATAGCGGTTTTTTTTTTAATGATGATTTAATTTCTGACTTATTTATAGCGTTTTCCCCTGTGTGTCGATCTACCCCTGGACTATACATCCCTCCTCCCCCAGAAGAGAATCCTGCACACCTGAACTTAGACAGAACAAGAGTGTTGTGGAAGGCAAGTATTCTCTGGGCTTATACTTTCCCAAACCCATTGATGTGGGGCCTACATCAATACACACACATATTTCTCTCTCTCTTTCACACATACATACACACACACATGCATGTGTGTTATCTGGTTCTCCTACGACCAGTACATATTTTATCTGCACATTTCATTCAGTCATTAAACAGATATATTTTAAAATGAAATGCCTGTCGAATACACTTTGTTGGGAGTTTGTTTGAGTGTGGGGGTGCACAGAACCACAGACCCACTAGCTGCACCAGTAGAAATTCCTTCCTACAGCTACAAGCTGAGATATCCCACCAAATTATTATTATTATTATTATTATTATTATTATTATTATTATTATTATTACCCCACTCATCTGGCTGGGTTTCCCCAGCCACTCTGGGCAGCTCCCAACAGAATATTAAAAACATGATAAAACATCAAACATTAAAAACTTCCCTAAACAGGGCTGCCTTCAGATGTCTTCTAAACATTAGATAGCTGTTTATTTCTTTGACATCAAACCCCACACCCCCAATCTTCGCCAAAGGCCTGAAACACATCAGGGCCAATGTTACATAACCACTTTTGGGGTTTATTTTTCCTAAAAGAAGAGTTGTGTTTTGTCTGCTTGGACAGAACATGGCTGCATTTTGGATCAGTTGCATGCGTAGGTCCTTGACCATTCGTCATAAGAGAAGCTTCTAGCAGTCACGCAATGAGTTTTCACACATTCAGCCTAGGCAAGTAAAATGTTTGCCCAACTGGAGCAAGTGCAGTCGAAATGGATTTGCCCCCCTCAAAGTCCACATGCGCCCATTGGGATGCTGTGCATTCTGCCCTGCGAAAGCTCGTGTGCATTGGCTACCTTAGTGTGGCAAATGATAAAATCTTATTTCGGTAATTTATATCGCACAGCTGGTGTTTTGAAGTGTTTGATCAGCGGCAAACAGCTGTATTTAATATTTGGCAACCGATGCGCAATGGCAGATCACAGCGGTTTTGACATTTCAACCTTTAGGCAGCGGTTTCAGACGTTTGCTAAAGAACCTCTTCGTGCCTGCCAGAGGGTTTGCAGGCCTGTTCGAGGCGGGTGCACAGCCAGTTTGCACAAGCCAATGTTAGGCTTCATCGTCGCCCATTATTCCCTACGTGCATGTCCTAAAACAAATCCATCACTCCTCAGAAGCTGCTCGTTGCAGATGGAGATCTTAAGCGGTAGGCAAGCTGCCTTTCAACTCTTCTAACCAAGAAGCCCTGACAAATCTCCAAAGGACTCACGGGTAAATTATGCACGATAGTTATTTGATGGTTCATTTGCAATACTATTTGACGTTAGGTAGTGTCGCGCAGAACCAAAGCTGACATGTCTGCTGTGGAAAAACCTCCTAGGCTAAGATCTCCATGCTAGGCTTGCCTAGTGATATGTCTCTGGCCCCCGTGATACCCTAGGAGTGTTTTAAACAGCTGATGTCATTTGACAGGTAACATTCAATGGCAATTAGTATTTTACAGCTGGCATCTTGTGAGATTTCACATTTGGAGCTTTCTGAAACAAACAAAAGCCTAATTTAACCCTTAATCAACTTTTCAAAATAAATAATAATAATAATAATAATAATAATAATAATAATAATAATAATAATTTATTATATATACACCCCGCCCATCTGGCTGGGTTTCCCCAGCCACTCTGGGCGGCTTCCAACAAAACACTAAAATACAATAACCTATTAAACATTAAACGCTTCCCTAAACAGGGCTGCCTTTAGATGTCTTCTAAAAGTGTGGTAGTTATTTTTCTCTTTGACATCTGGTGGGAGGGCGTTCCACAGGGTGGGTGCCACTACCGAGAAGGCCCTCTGCCTGTTTCCCTGTAGCTTTGCTCCTTGCGGTGAGGGAACCGCCAGAAGGCCCTCGGAGCTGGACCTCAGTGTCCAGGCTGAACGATGGGGGTGGAGACGCTCCTTCAGGTATACAGGACCGAGGCTGTTTAGGGCTTTAAAGGTGAGCACCAACACTTTGAATTGTGCTCGGAAATGTACTGGGAGCCAGTGTAGGTCTTTCAAGACGGGTGTTATATGGTCTCGGCGGCCAATCCCAGTCACCAGTCTAGCTGCCGCATTCTGGATTAGTTGTAGTTTCCAGCTCACCTTCAAAGGTAGCCCCACATAGAGCGCATTGCAGTAGTCCAAGTGAGAGATAACCAAATAGTTTATCGAGCTGATCCTCTGGGAATCATTGTTCAGAAGAGATAAAGGTAAAGGGACCCCTGACCATTAGGTCCAGTTGTGGCAAACTCTGGGGTTGAGGCCCACGCTTTATTGGCTGAGGGAGCCAGCGTACAGCTTCCGGGTCATGTGGCCAGCATGACGAAGCCGCTTCTGGTGAACCAGAGCAGCGCATGGAAATGCCGTTTACCTTCCCACCACAGTAGTACCTCTTTATCTACTTGCACTTTGACGTGCTTTCGAACTGCTAGGTGGGCAGGAGCAGGGACCGAGCAACGGGAGCTCACCCCGTTGCAGGGATTTGAACCGCCGACCTTCTGATCGGCAAGTCCTAGGCTCTGTGGTTTAACCCACAGTGCCACCCGCGTCCCTAAACTTTACCCTAAAGTTTAGGGTAACCTAAACTTACATAATAAAGGATTTCTT